TTGAACCCGTGTCCCCTGCGTTGGCAGGCGGATTCCCAACCACTGTGCCACCAGGGAAGTCCAGGGCATGCATACTTCTAAAAAAATGTTTATGTCATAAAATCCCCCCAAGTTAAACCAAAACCCAAATATGTTGGATACATCTGTAAAAATCATATAAAGATGAAATGTAAATGGTTAATAAAAATAGAAAAAAGTGATCAAACTTACTAAGAAGTACACATTAAAATAATGAGATATTTTTCCCCCTTGTAGAGTGCAGAGAGGTAAGGAGGGATGATATCCCATGTTGGTGAGGATGTATGAGACAGGAGGCAATGTGGCATTTGTTTTCAAATGAAAATGAAATGTTTTCAAATTGAAATCAATTAAAAATAACCAGCATTCGGGACTTCCTTCGTGGTGCAGTGGATAAGACTGTGCCCTCCCAATGCAGGCCTGGGTTCGATCCCTGGTCAGGGAACTAGATCCCACATGCATGCCACAACTAAGAGTTCACATGCTGCAACTAAGGAGCTGGCAAGCCACAACTAAGGAGCGGTGGAGCCACAACTAAGGAGCCTTCCTACCTCAACTAAGGAGTCCATGTGCTACAACTAAGGAGCCCACGTGCTACAACTAAGGAGCTGGCAAGCCGCAACTAAGGAGCCCTGGAGCTGCAACTAAGGAGCCCGCCTGCCTCAACTAAGACCCGGTGCAACCAAATAAATAAATATTTTTAAAAAAGAATATATATTATATATATATTTAAAAAATCAACTTTCTAGGAATTTTCGCTGAGGAAATAATCTGAAATATGTGCAGGTTTCTGTCCAAGGTTTTTAGTGGCAATACTGCTTACAACCTGAATGTCCGGGTGTTGGGAGGGAAACCTTATCCCCAGCCCCTGCTCTCCCCACCTCCCCAACCGCAGTCCATCTATGATAGAGCAGTGAGTAGGGCCCTGGGTGGCTGGGATCACCTAGGGTTGGCAGAAGACAGCAGTACCCGACCTTATTCCTCTATGCACCAGAGAGAGATGAAAATTAATATGCTTAATCTCGCCTTAATTTCTGGAGAGATCTTGGCCTTGGAAGTTTGTGGAACGGCAGAGAAAGTTAATTCCTATTTGTTACAGTGAGCATGTACTACTTCCATAATTAGAGTAGTTCAGCCGGGGCTCTGGAACGGCAGAGCCTGCCCATGGAGATGGTAGCTTGCGGCTCTCCCTGACCCAGCAGAGCCTGATTACCTCCCTATCACCGAAGCTGGGAAAGGGCTCTGCAGCTGAGGAGGCAGGAATTGAGGGTTTCCCTTCAAGAGCTCCACAGAGAACCACTCTTCTTGGCAGCTTGGAGCGTGGCTCGAATGCAGAAGTAGAGACTGATGACGCCTCCCACTGGTAGTGCCTGTAGATATCTCTGTGCTTGACCCATGGCCAGAGGGTAAAAACAGTCATGAGTAGGCAAGAGAAAAATAACAGTACACTTGAAGAGACTTGGCAGCCAGAGGGAGAAGGAGCTGGCAGGACCCTCAGAATAGGCAGCTCTTGAGGAAATAGAACTTATGAAAGAGACAGATGGCAGCTCTACCCAAATACGATGACTGGAGGAGATTGGATTATAGCAAAACTTTCTGGAACTGAAAAGCATGTTTTGTTTTTAAATTTACATTCAGTAGGGACTTCCCTGGCAGTCCAGTGGTTAAGAATCCACGTTTCCACTGCAGGGGGCACAGGTTCGAACCCTGGTTGGGGAACTAAGATCCCGAATGCCGCATGGTGTGGTGTGGCCTAATTAATTAATTAACATTCAGTAGGTAAATTGAAGGAGAGGATGGTCATCATAAAGCCAGTGGTCTTTTAGCTCAAGTGGAAGAAATATCTCAAAACACACCAAAAATAGAGAAAAACCAGGAAGCAAAGAGTTGGAGGAGCAATCAGTATTGAGCTCAGTGCTGATTAGACCTTTCCTGAACCAATTCCTGTGGTCAGGAGATGCCCCTTCCCACTTGCTGGGTTATCTGAGCCAGTCGCTGAGCCAAGGGAGAATGGGTTGAACTTAACGGGTTAGACCAAAGTAGGGACCATTTTGGGGTGGAGTCAATACCACCCACACAATGGGATAGAGTGGAATTTTTTTAAAAAGGACAACTACCTGGAATATCCCTTGTAGTAACACATGGTACCTGACTGAAACCATTGTCCTGAGGATAAATGAGATCCTGTGTAAGTTGCTTACACAGTGCCCAGCACATAGTAAACCCTGGGGGAATAGTTATTATTTTCTCATTTTTTTAGAAAGTGCTTTTAAAGTTTGAATGGATGTAGATGCCCTTCTCAGTTTTGACAATTCATCTTATTAGTGCTCTATGTAGAACCCTGGAAACAACAGAATGGTAACTCTGCTACACTTACAGAGTGCTTCATGCAAATTCTGATTCAGTCTTGTGAGGCTTGAGGTTCTGCATTTTAAACAAGCTCCCTGGTGATGCTCATGCTGCTGGACCACAAGACCACACTTTGAGTAACAAGGACCTGGGAAGGGTTTTGCCTTTCCTGTGTGATTGAAGGGGCCTACCACTGCCCCCATGTTCCATGGATGGGAACATGACGGAAGGTGAGAGAAAGGATGATGAAAACAAGCAATTTTCTTTTTGTAAAACCTCATCCTTTTAATTTAAAATTTTCAAACCTTCTGAGTATTTGAAAGAATAATGCAGTACACACCTATGTACCTTTCACCTAGCTTCACCAATTATTAATATTTAAGCAATTTCCTCTTAAGGGCATGCTTAAGAACTTAAGTTGTCCACATCACTTCCACTCTTGTTCATCGGTAAAAACTTTGGCATATAGCCTCACATTGCTGCAAGGGAGGGTAAGAAGTATAAGCTCAGCTTGACAGCTATTACCTGCTATAGGGGGTGCTGTTCTATTACTACAAGAGGATATGAGAGAGCAGTTGCTTTTTAAAAAGAAGGAAGATGGGACTTCCCTGGTGGTCCAGTGGTAAAGGATCTGTCTTCCAATGCAGGGAATGCAGGTTCAATCCCTGATCGGGGAACTAAGATCCCACATGCTGCAGGGCAACTAAGCCTGCGCCACAACTACTGAGCTTGCAGGCCTCAACGAGAGAGCTCATGTGCCGAAAACTACAGAGCCCACATGCTCTGAAGCCCACACGCCACAACTAGAGAGAGGGAGAGAAGAAAAAAAAACCTGCATGCCATAACTCTAGAGAAGCCCGCCTGCCACAGTGAAGAGCCTGCGTGCCCGCAATGAAAGATCCCACATGCCGCAACTGAGACGCGACACAACCAAAAATAAGAAGAGGGAGGAGGAGGAAGACAGTGGATACTAGGGGACAATTAGCCACCTCTGACACACTGACTCGCTGGATCTCCCAACCAGTTCTCTTCAAAGTGGATTCTGGAAAGACTGAAGCTAAATTTGCAGCCCATCTCTACGAAGTATGTAGGACTTCAAAGTATGCATTTTATACCCGCCTCACTGTTGATTGTTCTATCTTCATTTATATTAAAGCTTTTTTTTCAAGTTTGATTATAATAGTGACACACTAAATATAATTGTATAGAGTGCTTGAAATGCTCTGAGTGGACCCAAACACGTTTACCACAGCATCTTTGCTTACAATAGCATGTTTGCAGGACTTAAAACTGTAACTACCGAGTTGTAAATGATATTGTTTTCATTTGCCTGTGATTTTTCAGCCTTTAAAAAAATAGGAACTTACAGAAACTGTTACAGAAAGGAAATACAAGTTGCTTTACACAAATCAAGATTCCATCAGTCACTAACATCATATTATGTAGACAGTAGAATATCCTGGTTGTTTTACATCCCCTTGTTCCACTACTCTTGATCTATTTATACCAATTGCCTTTAAAACTTCTAATCTCTTTAGGTATATTTTCTTTGTCAAAATGTTAAAGAATATGCATTCAACATTTATGAGATAGTGTGATTTTATTTTATTATTTTAAAAATATATATATATATTTATTATTTATTTGTTTTGACTGCGCCGGCTCTTCGTTGGCGGACTTCTTAGTTGCCACATGCATGGGGGGATCTAGTTTTCTGACCGGAGATCAAATCCAGGCCCCCTGCATTGGGAGCCCTGAGTCTTACCCACTGGACCACCAGGGAAGTCCTGATAGTGTGATTTTAGACTGTTATAATCTGTGATAACGTTTATTCATTTGGATGTGAATTAAATCATTTTAGGGTTGATAATTTTAGCCTTCCGATTCCATCCTTTGCCCGTTACCACTGTAAGTTATTTGAAGGCAAAGAATAAATCTCTCCTTTAAAGTTAACATCAGAGTTTGCTCAACACGAGTCCCTTAGCAACAAATTTTGAGTTAGGTTTTGTGATGTAGTACCTCCTCTAACTTGAGGGCAACTGACCCCCTCCAGCCCATTTACACAGCGACAGCCTTAACTGCCTGTCTGCGGAAGCTGGACTCTGGCTGCCGGCCGACGTCCGGCGCTGGGCGCGGTGGCGCTGCTCTCCAGCCGCTGTCGGTCCTCCGATCACGCTTCCCTGGCTTGACAACCCTCCAGCCGCTGGAGATGGAAAAGCTCAAACCCTAAACCCAAACGAGGGGAGTTTTGGCCGGGAACTGGAGGGCTGTGAGCCTCCGCGTCTGCGCGGGGACGCTCAGCTGTGCCCGAAAAACCCGAGCCGGCCGGCTACCAACCGGACCGCGCCCCCGGTGTCCGCACCCGCCAGGCTCGGGCAGTTCAAAGTTCGGCCGGGTCCGGAGGGATCTCGGACCCTCCGCTGGCTCTCAGAGCCTCGCCAGCCGCTAGCAGACGCGCCCCCTGGAGGCGCGCCCCCAGCCCCACCGCCAGCATCCCAGCCTCTACTGTGCGGCTTCGCGCCAGGCCTGCCAGCTCCTAAGATGGCGGCGGCGGCGTCGAGAGGTGGCGCCCCACGTGGGCTCCGGTGGCCAATGGGCTTTGGGCCTGCGCCGCCGGCCCGGAGCGGGAGGCGGAAGTGCTTCGGGCAGCAGCCTCCTTCCAGGCTGCGGCCCCTGCCGGTTACATAACTCGTTGCGGGCTGCGCGCGGCCCCACTTCCTGGCTCCCTGAGAACCGAGGATGCGCTGAGCCCCACAACGCCGTCCGCTGCCGCCGGCTCCCTCCCGAGGTGAGGTATCCCGGGCTCTGGCCTGCAGTGGGGCGCCGGACCCGGCCGGGGGCGGGGGTCGTGAGAGGCAGGGAGCGCAGCTGGGGGGACGGCCGGGGTGCAGGGGGACCGAGGCGGCCCTGGCGGGGCGCGGAACTGCCAGTCCGTTCAAGGGAGGCCGGGGGCGCGGCCCACGCCAGTCGGAGCCCAGATCTTTCCGCGGTGTTTTGGGACGGCCTCAGAGCTCACGCTTCCTGGGGTGAGGAGGGAGCCGCGACCCCAGACTCCAGGGGTGCCGAGAGGCGCGATTCCGACCCTTTTGCCTGGGACGCCACCGTGCGAGGCCCCAGGACGAGTTGGTGGGGAAATTTGGAACCGCAGGGCAGCCTGCCCCTTACTACACCCTAGGTCTCACGGGAGGTGCAGGGCCTGTCCTCTTCACAGTTCAGCGATTCGCCGCTGCCTCGCCCGGCCCTACCTCTGCTTTAGTACTTGTTGCACGGATTGTAGTTATTTGCCGACTTGTTTGCCCTCCCGTGAACTCCTGAAAGCCTGGGACTCTTTCTTGGTCGTCTCCACATCTTACTCCTTCAGCTGTACATTTTGGTTAAGATAACTGATTCCTTACGTTTTTGGTAGTTTACAGACTGGCCATGCAGACCCCTGCACCACCTCTGACCTCTTCTGCCCTATCGGGCACTTCCCAAGGAATAGAGGGAATCTATAGCTTCTGTGGTTTGTGCCCCGGGAAGATTTTCAGGGAGGCTGAGCGCCTTCCCTAGATCACTAACAGCAAAGATCTGTGTGCCCAGCGGGTGACGGAGCCCAGGGCCTGGAGATGAGGAAAGGAGTTACTCTGCAATAACCACGGACACTGCCTGCTTCATTGGTCTGTTTTCATTCTGCCAAATCCTTGAGCCATGCCATTTTCTTACTAATTTGTCCTGAAGGAAAAGGATAGCAGCCCCACAGGGTAGTTCCCTGTGGTACCTGGAGTGGTTGTTAATCAGAGTCAGAACTGGAGAGAACATTGCTGGTTGCAGATATTTACCGGAGCATGGAAGGCAGAAAACTTCCAGTTAATGCTTAACTGACAACCGGGAAAGTCACTGTGACTCCAGGTCATCTATAGAAATACCACATTCCGTGTAGTACTTTGTGATGTGCAGATAAGTCATAGAAGTTCTTTGGCCAGTAGTACTGGATTGCGAGGTGGGGAGAAGGGGAGTCTTGAACAACATTGAATTAAAAGGGGCTGGAGCAAAACAAATACTCTCTTACAAGAATCCCTGAATTGAGTTAAGTTCAGTTAGAGAAGAAGGGATTCCAGACCAGAAGAAACTCAAGGGTGGCTGAAGTATAAACGTCAGTCATTTAACAAATGGACAAAGTCAGTCATGGCTGTGCACATAGGTCTTCATCTCCCTTGTTCCAGGATTTTGTACGTCACAATTAAAGTGCAGACTGGCCCTTTGAGAAAGCAGTGTGCGTGAGCTCCTTCTCCTTTGGGCCACAGTTTGCTGGAGTTCCATCTCACTGGGCTTGCAGACATGCTGGGTTTCTATAAAGATGGTTAAAACCTGTAAGTAACAAAGTCAAGGCATGGTGTCGTGTTCACAAGCCAGAATAAAAAATACAGACACTTTTTTAAAAGGTCTGTGTGTGTCTTATTTTTAGCCTCTCCCGTTGTAACTTACAGTGACTTTATCACCATGTTTATTTTAACCGCACCCACTCTCAGACTTCAGATGTGACTTGTTGAGGTTGCTTGGCAGCTTGGCCTCTGCCTGGGATGGAAGAAAATTCCTGGATGTTAGGAGATTGGAGAGGTAAAAGACACCCAGTAGAACTAAGAAGGTTGGTGCTGTCACTGCTCACCAGGTGCTCCGCCCCACAGACTGTCCCAGCCTCAGTGGACCTGCTAGCAGCAGTTTGTCTTCTGGCAGCCCGAGGTGTGTTTAGACCAGGTGGACACAGCATCCTTACCTGGCAGCAGCCACAGGGAACACAGTGTAGAGAAGAATCCTCAGAGCTCTGAGTGCGGGGCAGTGCATATCTTTGCTCTGCTAAAATGGCCCAGAGGTCTCCTTGTTGGTGACAGCTCTCCTACCTGAGTAGAAGGCTGGCTGCTTGTCAGGCCATGTCTTCTCTTAAATGGTGGCTCCTGCATCTCTACATCTTACTGCCAACACCTCCTTCCCTGACAACTCTTTCTGGAAGGAATCCACAAAGTCCTCATGGCTTTTCCACCTCAGTTCTTCGTTTTCAGAAAGCTAGATTGGGATATAGACTCTGTGTCGAAGCTGGTCCTGCTTCTGTCCATGTGCAGTGCTTTCAAGTAAAATGCTGATTTGTGAAATGATGCTGGAACTCCTGGGTCTCATTCTGGCTAAGTCCAAATGTTGAATTTCATTCAATGAATATTTCTAAGTGTCTTTGATAACTCCAGGAGCAGGCCTCCTTCCCTAAATATCATTCTTTTTAGGGTGACCTCTGATAGAGGCTGGCTGACAGGCTAGGTCAGGGTTATCTGAAGCCCAGATATCTTACACTGCTGATTAAAGAGAGGCCTATGTGTTTGAAAACCCAGTGAGCACATACATAGTAGGGTTGACGTTCCACTCTGAACCTGAAGGTGTTTGCTCAGTGCTTGTGGAGTGATGGGAAGGGGATCTGAGCAGGGAGCCAGGGCTTTCTGCAGGAAGTAGTTTGGGGTCTTCATCAACAGTGGAACCAGTGCTCCATTGAGTGCCCCACTGCAGGGGCTGGCAGACACGTGACAGTCACCTCGAGGTGCCCACAACACTGAGCCTGGATGGTCAGGTGGAGGGGGAGTAACCACACATGAGGGCCAGTCCCTAGTCCCTTCCTGTGGGCATCTCAGACTCCCCATCTCCTCACCTGAGGCCCACTTCCTGCTCAGGCAGGGCCTACATGGCAGGGAGGGGTCCGACACTCTGAATATTGATGGCGAGAACCACCTGTGAGTGTGACAACGTAGAGACTTTAAAATGTCTCTTCAAATTCATAGACTCTTAGTGCCAACGTTTAAGCCCCATACCCTTGGAACAGCACGGCATTTGTTCACTGGTACCAGAAGTAAACATTCTAAACGTTCTAATAAGATGCACAATTGTAAAGAAGCAAAGAGGAGCTGATTGTGGAAAGGGACACAGAACAAATGTTTGTTCCCTTTGCTTCCACAGGAAGACCAAGGAAAAGTATTTTGTCATCTTTAACAGACTACATTAAAAAAAATTCTTCCCAGTTCTATTTCTTGTTGTTACTAGAAAGCAAATTGTGTTCCTCTTTTTTGTTTCCTGCATTCCTGAAATAGGGCAGCAAAGTATTTGGGCAGCAAAGTAATGAAATTTGAGCCCATCTTAAAAATAACTGAGAAGAAAGCAATTTCATTTGATAAAATAGTCTTTGGGTAATTGTCCCTTAGCTACTGAAAATGATTTTTATCTGGAAAATGTTAATACAACAATATTTCCATGGTTTCTGTAGCATTCAGTAGCTGTTTGCTACTTTTTAAAAAAATTTTTTATTTTTAGAAGATGACTCCTGACTAGTTGTAAGCTATTCAGAAGGTCTTGCTGGTCAGATATTTGCTGCTCTTTCTACTCTTACTGTCAAATTACAGTATTGCTTCTCCTCTGGCCTCCCATTTTTTACTTTTTTGTTGAAATATACACACTGCTTGACCAGCGGTCATGGCATGAGCGTACCAGTGCAACCACCACCTCAGAAGACCCCTTGGGCCTCTTACCAGGCAAGCCCTCTCCTATTTAAAAAGTTTATTTTCTTGTAGGAAACACAAGAAACTATTAACCGTCATTTTATTGGGACTGGGGTGAGGAGGGGATTTCAAGTTTTTGCTTCACTTTGTGTATGGATTCCTATTTTACCATGAACATGTGTTCATAGTAAAACATAGTTTTAAACAGCATTTAACAAAAGGAGAATGTTCTGTTTAAACCTTTCTTTTTTAAATGGCTGTCCTGAAACCTATGAATAGTTTTAAAAATTGATTTTTGTATGGCCACTAAATTTTCTTTTTAATAGTTGCACAGGAACTCTTTAAAATATTTTCACAAGTCTATTCGGCATCCTTATCCACAACTACCTCCTCTTTGCTTCATTACAAATGTGGGTCTGTGTTTAGAATGTTTATTTCTGGCATCAGTGCATAAATGCCATGCTGTTCCAAGGGTATGTGGCTTAAATGTTGGCACTAAGAGGGTCTATTTGGGGGCAAAATGGGTAACCATTCTACTTATACTTTGAAGAGACATTGTAAAATTCCCAAGTTGTTACTAATTAAAACAGATTATTTTAATATAAAAGATGTGTTCATAATTTTCACATACCACCTGGAAGTCTTGTTTTTTTCTGTTAATAAAAACAACCCAAGCTCATTGTTTTTTTAAAAAAAAGCTCAAATGATACAGAAGCGAGTGATGTGGACACCAACGTCTGCCTTAATTCCAGAGGCAAATGCTGACAGGAGGTTGAATTACTTTTAAAAATAATTTTTGTTATAAAAGTTAACCTCGTGATCAAGTGTTAATTTATACCGAATTTGACCCACTTTCACATTTAATATCTTTTGGCTTCTGAAGGATCTTAAATGCAAACCCAGAGAAGTAGAGATTAAAATCAAACATCAAACAAAAAAACCCAGCAGAGTGAGATGGGAAAGTGCAGAAAGGCCAGTGGTGGGGCTGGTTTGCTGAAGGGGCAGCGGTGAGGAGCAGGCAGGGTTTCTGAAGCCCGATGCCCCCTTTGCTGTGCTTTTCTCCTTCAAACTGAGCAGCCAGCGGTCCATTTCACCCACTGCCCCAGACAGTGCTGAGGGCACCTGCAGCCGCCTGAGTTTTCTGTGGAAGAACTCACTCACTCTCAGTTGGGTTAGAGCCCTCAAGAGGGTCCAGTCTTGGGTGTCAGTCAAGGACGTGTATTTAATTTTTGGCTGCACCCTGTGGCATGTGGAACTTCTGTGACCAGGGATCGAACCC